GCTCGCCCTGGCCGCGCTCTGCCTGCTCCGCGCGCCCGCGGCCGGGGCGGCGGCCTGCGAGCCCGTGCGCATCCCCCTGTGCAAGTCCCTGCCCTGGAACATGACCAAGATGCCCAACCACCTGCACCACAGCACGCAGGCCAACGCCATCCTGGCCATCGAGCAGTTCGAGGGGCTGCTGGGCACCCACTGCAGCCCCGACCTGCTCTTCTTCCTCTGCGCCATGTACGCCCCCATCTGCACCATTGACTTCCAGCACGAGCCCATCAAGCCCTGCAAGTCGGTGTGCGAGCGGGCGCGGCAGGGCTGCGAGCCCATCCTCATCAAGTACCGCCACGCGTGGCCCGAGAGCCTGGCCTGCGAGGAGCTGCCGGTGTACGACAGGGGCGTGTGCATCTCCCCCGAGGCCATCGTCACGGCGGACGGAGCCGGTGAGTCCGACACTGCCCGCCCCGGCCTCCTCCTCGCAGTCGGTCCTCTTCCTCTGCGCTCTCAGCTTCGGTCTCAGGATCCCTCCGTCTCTGCTTTGATCACCGTCCTGTGGAGCACTTTTTAAAACTCTCCCCTCGTCGCTCTTGCACAGGCACGCAGCTTCCGGTGGGAGATCCGTCCTGCTAACGCCCCATTCATTCCACTCGCATCCCCTGCTGGCTCGGCACTTTCTGCGCTGTGCGCGGAAGCAGCCACCGTTCGTAGACCGATGCTCTTTTCTTGTCTGAGTTTGTAGTCGCTGAGTTTTCTTGCCCCATCCTCCTGCAGTCTAGGTTATCAAATGTCTTCTGTACCTAGCGTTTTAGATGCTTGAGATGGTGTGGAGACAACAGAAAACGGAAACCTTCACTTTCTTCTGATCACTGAAAATGCCAAGATAATTTCAGTGACCCCGTTCCAGCCCACAGGTGTTAGTACTGTGTGTTTTGCTCAGAACCCAACTTGAGCCATTACCTTCACCTTAAATTTCCCCCTCCTTTCAGTGAGACAAATTGTGTTTCCGTTCCGGACAGACACTGCTGAGAAGCTTTGCTGTGCGCTGCCCCTTAGCTTCTGCAGCTTGCTCCATTCCTGGTACGTGACGTTACCAGGCTCTCTCCTCACGCCCGCATGCCTCGAGTCGCTTGACAAATGACATGTGGGTGAGAGGAGTTATATTTAGGCGCCTTATCGCCGTACACCCCTGTAAGAATCTCCCGCCTGACCCCACTCTTGTATTCTGTGAGTGCTGTGTTTAATGCCTCTTTTCACACTCTCTGTGCATTATCTGCACGTGCATTCCAAGTATTCTCAACCGTAAAACTTCTTTGCAGTTCTGCATTTCATGGGATGAATCACAAAGTGTTTTCTCACCGATGTTTGGTCAAATTATGACATTTGTAACTCTAAAACCCCAACTAAGTCCAGTTCATTATGGTCTGTTTAACTCTAACTCAGTATGATTCCGGCCAACTAAACCTAACCTCAAAGTATACCTCTCACGTGCTTTAAAATGAAAGCTTTTTGTGTTGTTTTGTTTTACACTGCGGTTCTCTTTTGTAGCTTCCCTGAGCCCGCCCTGTTCTGAGACGTGTTGACCAGGTTGTTTCCTCTCTGTTCACTTACTGGGCATCAACTTTGCCTTCTGCTGCCTCTCAAGTCTTCAATTTAGGCCGCGTTTGCAGCTACTTTCTAGTTAAATGTTACGTTATTCTGAAACATTACAGTGACCCATTAACATAAAATGAGAAGGGAGAGGCAAAGTCTTGTACAGATCGCTAAAAGACCAAAACTGAAGGGAAGGATTTCAAGAACCCATTGATGGTCGCCTCACTTAGTGAATCACTCTTTGAATGAACATATTGTCTTTTTTTTTTTTTTTTTTGAGACAGGGCCTCACTATGTAGTTCAGGCTGGCCTTGAACTCACTATGTAGCCCAGGCTGGTCTCAAACTCACGACAATCCTTCTGCCTCAGCCTCCCAGGTGCTGGGATTACAGAGGTGAGCCACCACACCTGCCCTGCCTTCTTGATGTTACTCAGCAACAAAGAGCTGGGTGTGTAAAATAATCAGAGAGTATTTCTTATTCCTCTCTGGGGGAGAAAGAGCGCTCCTCAGCCTTTGTGCCCACTGTGGTCACTGGCCCTGCAGACTCTGGAAGAGCTCAGCACAGTGGCTGCCTTGGTCTACCAGGCACTTAGCATCAGTTAAATGCTCACACTCTTCTTGGGCCAAGGGCTAGTAACGAGGTGGCAGTGGTTGACGCTGAAATGCATCCCCCGCTTAAAGGACAGAGTTTGCTCTTAAAGCCCTTTGAGAGAGGGACCTGGAATGAGTGAGGTTTGGCAAGGTTAGTGGCTCTCAGAAAGCCAGAGTCTGTATGGATGGGAAGCAGTTTCATTAAAGTGACCCCGAGTTACCTATTACCACGCACCAAAAGCAGAACAATTGCCTCATTGAAAAGCTCCAATGCAACTTGCATGGAAATAATTTGTCAGTCCGGGGGACCCGATTTCTGAGCTGCTTTAAAATGCCATAATATTTGTTTTGCTGACAGCACCCTTGTTCGAGAAATAAATAGCAGTAGGTGGTAGTTGAGATCATATTTTAGTGATGCTCCCCCTCCTCTAATCTCGCTTGTGAACCAGAGACAGTGGTGGCCGAAAAGACCTAAGAGGGAGGTGCGATGGGAACAGAGGGGTGGATTGTAGCCTGATGGGGCCCCTGGCTTCCAGGGTCAATATGTTGAAAGTTACATTCAGTTGGGTCAAACTGTCAGACACCTGGAGTTATTTAGAGACTACCATATGTGACCAGTCTTATTTATGATGCAGCATACTCTTTGCTTTAGTGGGACATGGTCATTCATAATGCATATTTTTTTCCTCCACGTGTAGACCGAGTGCTGTGTCTTATGATTAGACTCTGCTTAGCCTATATAAAAATGAGGGTGCCCTCAATAAAATGAGACCAGCAAATGTTCCTGTGCCTGGGGATCTGTTCCCTCATGGCATTTGTGACTGCACAAACAAGTTTAGGACATTTCACAAAGCAGAGTCTTACTGACATAGAATAATGCTTCAAACTACTTTTCACTTGTAAAACACTAAGGGTACAGGTATTTTTATAAAGAACAGGTTAGGCTGGGGATATAGCTCAGTGGCACAGAGCCTGCCTGGCAAGTGCAAGGTCCTCGGTTCAATTCCTGGTGCAGAAAGAAAGAAAGAAAGGTTACACGCTGACCATTACTAATAAATTTATATTAAATTTATTCTTCTTACACACAATATTTACTGTAGCTACATATGCTGCTTCCCATGCTTTATCCAAGATCTCATTTCAACTAGTTAATTAATACATTTAATCAAATACTAACTATTGTGTGTGGAGTAAAGAATATGGCCTTCAATTCAAACAGCCAAAGTGTTGAATCTCAATTCTCCTCCCGTCAGCTGTTGCTATAGAAAGCTTACATAACCTCTCTGATTTAATGTTTTCTTATCTGTAAAATAAGGACCAAACCTCCTACATCCTAAGGGCACGGAACAAATTGAATTACAGAGCACGTGAAGTATTAAGTCTAGTACCTGTTAGGAATTGCTTAATAAGCAGTTATAAGCCCTTAAGGAATTGCCCAAGTATTGCTATTTTTATTATCATTGTTATATCAAACTGATTGATGATTTCTTTGTAAATAAATACAGATACAGCCTAGAACTTGTATCTGTTCATGTCTGGGAAACAAGTTTTACACTGGGACCTAATTGGAGAAGCAGATCTTAATCCTTCTGAATATCTAGAGTTAATATGTGATATTATGCACATCAACCTGGACCTCGGGTTGACTGGAAATAACAGACAATAGTTAGTTATGACCATTAGCCATGGTTAATTATAAACAGCTTATCTCAGGAACCAAGACTTTGCAGAAGTTGATGGTGTGATGTTTCCCAGCTATTTGTACACCAGCGACGGTGTGCCAGGCCACGGGCTCTATAATCACCCCTCAGTATTACTGGTCTCTGTGTGGTGCTGCTCTGTCCCTCGGCCCTTGCGCAACACTCTCTGCGGCCCTCGCTGTGGGCAGAGCGTGCCAGCTTTTGCATGTACAAACGGCAGCTCAATCATCTCTCCCCTCTCCGAGGAACAGGCAGCCTTTTCTTCAGCCCTGATCTGCAAATATTTGAGGGGCCAACTACCAAGAAGGAAGGCTCTGAGGAGGAATACGGAATGGGAAGGAGAAATGGAAATTTTAGATTAAGAACGGAGCGAAAACACGGTACAGCACTACGCTTTCTTCCTCATGCAAAATATAGAAAGACTCTGGATGAGGTACTGGATGAGCATTATGGCATTGATTTTATTTAGCTAATCTGATTACCATGACGTAGTCCCTAAATATTATTTCAACACTTTACTTTTTATCTCCTTCCTACCTGACTTTCAAGTAGTTGTCGAAAGAGCAAAATGGACTAAGTTGTATGTGGTCTTTGTTTTTCTACCAGGTGTCTGGATAGAGGCGCGAGTAAAGGCTCCGCGTGGACTTGTGATTTCTTATAATGAGGACTTGGCTGCGTTGCCTCAACTTAGAGAAAACCACAGCATTGGTTTCAGGTCCTGATTTGGAATTCTAGATTTGCAGTTGCTTTTGTACTTTGAAAAGACAAGTCCTGGGGCTGGGGATTTAGCTCAGCGGCAAAGCGCCTGCCTGCCAAGCGCAAGGTCGTGAGTTCGGTTCCCCGTACCGGAGAAAAACCAAAAAAAAAAAAAAAAAAAAGACAAGTCCTGTGATGTTGATACGGATTGGGAATTGAATTGGTAAATGGTAAAACCCAACAGGAATGTTTAATAATAACACCATTTTGGAGGGGGTGTGCCGCCCTCAGGACAGAGGTCGTTAGCAGCAGTGTTTACGTGTCCGAGACCCTGTCCTAAGTGAGTTGTGCGCAATAGCTTAATTCTCATAGCAACTCTATGGCAAGTACTGTTGTTCGCATTTTGAAGAAAAGAAAGCCAAGGCAGAGGGAGAAGTTAAATGGCCTGAGAAGTTAGTTCAGCTGGTAAGAAAAGTTTCAAGCCTACGTCAGTTCTACGCTGTACTTCCTCTTTTATTAAGAAATGTGGCTCCTAAGCTTTGGAGCGTCTGCTGTCTTGTGCCCATCTGGTTACAGTTAAAGGGACAGTTTTTTCATTGTCCCTTTGAAAGAAAACCCATTTGTATGTGGCTTAGGGAAGTGAAACAGCACTGCAGTGGACATGGATTCCCGAGACGCGGATCTCCCCTTGGTGCACTGTGGAGGCAGGCTGCAGAGGCAGGGCTCTCACATCTGCTCCTCCGACGCTGAGCCTCAGGGTGGATTCATCAGCTCCGCCCCTGTGAGCCTGTTCTTGGCAGTGTTTCCTGTGTCACTGAGAGACTGCCACACACGCCCGGTTGTCCACCCTAGGTGTCGTCCTCGATTCCCCCCTTTCCATCTCTCACGTCCAGTCAGTGCTACTGGATCCACTTTGACCTCTATAAGCTTCTCTCTAATGCCTTTTCTTGGTATGGATCCCACCAGCTGTACTTGGATTGCCGCCTGACGGTGATACTTCTCTCCAGGATGCCTCCTGCCTATCCCGATAATGAAATGAAAAACCCGTTCCTTACATGCCTGTAATCCCAGCACTCTGGGAGGCTGAGACAGGAGGACTGCGAGTTTGAGCTTTATTCTAGGCAGTTAGTGCTTTAGTGAGACACTGTCTCAAAGTAAAAATAAAAAGGACTGGGGAGATAGCTCAGTGTGGGGACTTTGGTTTCAATCCTCAGGAAAAAAAATCAATCAGTTTTAAAACATGAAAATAAATAAAATACTCTGACTTTCCCTCTAGCCTTCATGATCCCTCCCCCCATCCCCTGTCTAGCTTCCTTTGTGTCTACTTACTGTGTTTTCTATTCAGCTGCACTGGCGGATGTTCAGGTCGCATGATGGGTTCTGCCTTTCCGCGCCCCCAGTACCTCTGCAGCACTCGTCCCTACCTGGGAAGCCCTCCCTCCCTCTCACAGCTACTTTGGATTGTTCTGGAGCCTTTGTGATCCCCACTAGAAATTCTTGTGGCTCAAAATCTAACAGTACAGCATCTACTTTTTTAGTGCAGGATAATTTTGATGGCAGAATTCCTAAACTTAACTCCCTGACGGCGTTTTGGGGAGGATTACTTATTATCAGAAAACTCAGACTTTCTCTTGTGTAGTGCTAGTGATTGACTTCTAAGCATTTTTCAAAGTGTAGTAATGTTTCCCTGTGGATGTAAGTGAAAGAAGGAAAACATTCTCCTTGGCTCAACTGTTTTAAAGGGGATTTCTTTTTCCAAGAGAAGAGTCTTATTTTTCATTTTTATATAACTTTTTGCACAGTAAACATTTCAAGTATAGGCCAATATGATTTCTTCATCTAAAGGGATATTATTTTTATATAAACCATATGTGTTTTATCACATTATTCAGAAATAGAAAATCTATTGGCACATTACCCTACAACATGAATATATTTATCATGAATGAAGTTCAAGTGGAATACAAGCCCATAAGTTAATATATGGATGAGTCGAGCACATGTTTTAGAACTAGTATTTGTTGCCTGCTTATCTATGTATTGATTTGCAGACTGCTATCTTTCCTTGAATACAGCTTTTTAAATACTAGTTGAGAGCCGGGGGTGTAGCTCAGTGCATGCACAAAGCCCTGGGGTTGATTCCCCAGCCCTGGAAGAATAAACAAAACCTGCTGATAATTACTGAACCTGACAAAGTAATTCATTAACTAGAATTGTGGTCACTGGTGTCCTATAAACTCCTTGTTTAATTTATGATATCTTGGGACAATGACAGAGGAAGAGCATTATTTTCTGTCCGGCTAAACAGAGGCATTACCTTCATTTAGCAGAAAGTGTTGATCAATTCTGGCTCTTGTATAAAAGCATGATTTGGAGCGTGGCTGAGTCTATATGGTGAAGTATCACCCTGAGCAATGTGTCCTGCTGTGGCCCTGGGCGCTATTCATGAGAAGCTGCTTTCTTAATTAGAGCAAACGAGAACTTTATCATGACCAAAGTCTGGTGCTGCAGCATCAAGCAAAGAATCAATGGCAATTTCTAATTATTGTCACATCTACTGGTTGCACCGGCATGAATTGTTGCCGGGTATAGGTTTCCTTTCTGTGCAAGATCTACCTAGCCTGTAGTTGACAAAGGGCCCGGAATGCTCTCGGAACGTTTTCCGCAGACACCTTGGTGTTTACTGGGTGCATGCCGCGTGAGACATCTATTTATTCCTGCGTGTGTTTGATTCTCCGTCATCAAGTCCCAGTGGTTGGGTGAATGTCTAATATTTGCACAGACTTCACTGTGATAGGATCCTCATCATTTATAACTTCTGAAATTCGAACGCAGGTTATTTGTTAGAGCCTGAAATTTATGCACAGTTAGTGATTCAAAATCAGCACCTTGCAGTCACATCGGAGAGTAGCTAGCGACCTTATTTGACACACAGATGAGAGTGCCAGCCTCATCCCCTTGAGACACGTGGTCCTCACCAAATCAAACTTGCCGTTGGTTTAGATTTTTACACAGGGATTCTTGCCGCAATAACAGATACGTTATGGTTCTTTCCTTATCACCTTTCAGATTTTCCGATGGATTCCAGTAACGGAAACTGCAGAGGGGCCGGCAGTGGTGAGTATTCCGGGGTCATCCTGGTTTCCTGCTGTGGTGGTTAGTCTCTGACGCAGCCTGCATGCTGAAGTCTTCGCTGTGCAAGTCTGTGCCCTAACATCTTACAAATCCAGTCAAAAGTTACTCTTGGGCCACTTCACTCAGGACCCTTCCTGACAATCCAGGAGCTATTCTCCTTCTCCTTTTTCCAATAAAACTTTCCTAACCTCCTTTTAAAAAGTAATTTATTTGTACTAATTTCATGTTTAATATTAGAATATAATAAAGCTGACCTTTTTTTGATATATACCAGTTGTTCGCTATCTGGAGTTTTAATGAGTGTATAAATTGTAGCCACCAACATGAGCAGGATACAGGACAATTCTGTCAGCCCCCCCAAAATGCCTTCACTCCATATCCTTTTATAGTTACATGCTTCCCCTACTCAGAACCACAGACAGTCACGCATCTGTTCTCTGTTCACTGTATGAGTGTCTTTTGGGGATTGCCGTATAAGTAAAATCATGGAGTATTGTAACCTTCTGAGATTCACTCAGCATAATGTCTTTCAGAGTCCCCAAGATGTCACGTGTCAATAGCCCATTCCTTTTAGTGGCTGAATGTTTTATTATTTGGATATATTTCCAGTTGTTTACCCATTCACTCCTAGAAGGATAGCTGAGTTTTTTTTCTTTCTGTTTAGGTATTGGCAATTATTAAGAGGGCTGCTATAAACATTCGTATACAGGGTTTGTGTGAATTTTCATTTCTTTAGGGTAAATATCTAGGAATAGGATTGCTGAGTTATATGATAACTGTATGTTTAACTTTATAAAAATCTGTCAAACTGTATCTAAAATTGCCATAGAATTTTGCACTAATACAGAATGTATAAGAATTCCAGTTGCTCTGCGTCCTTGCTAGCACTTGGTATTGTCAGCCTTTTTTTTTTTTTTTAAATAATTGTTAGCCATTTTAATAGGTGTGTAATTATAGCTCAGCACTTGCATTTCAGCACTAATAAGCACTAATGATGATGTTGAATACCATTTCCTGGGCCTGTTTGCCATCAAATAAATTCTTTCTGGTGAATTGTTACTCTTGTTTTTTGGTTTGTTTCTAAATAATGAGCTTTGAGAATTCTTGATTATATTACAGATACAAAGAATGGTCTTTTGATTTCATTCATTTTTTTCCTATGTTTTTCTATTTTCAATTTTTTTGTTCCTATTTTCTTTTGCTAGCTCTGAATTTATTATCCTTCTTAATGTTTTTAAGGGTACAAGCTTATATTTGAGACCTTTCTTTTTTTAAGTATAATTTAATGCTATAAATACCCATCTAAGAGTGGCTTTAGTCGAACACCACAAATTTTGATAGTTTCTAAAAATTTTTCTTCAGTTTAAAGTATTTCATAATTTCCTTTGAGACTTCTCTGACTCACACATTATTTTGGGTTATGTGGTTTAATCTGTTGCTATTTAGGGATTTTCCTGTTATTTTGTTATTTTTTAATTCTGTTATAGTCAGAGAACATACTTTGTATGATTTCGATTCTTGTAAATTTATTAAGGTTTATTCTATGACCCAGGAAGTGATCTATCTTAATGAATGTTCCATGTGCCCTTGGAAAAAAGTGTATTTTGTTGTTGAACAGAATGTTCTTTAAATATTAATTTTATTCGGTTAATACTTTTATTTAGTTCTTTTATATTCTTGCCAACTTTTTTATCTCTTAGAATGATGTTTAGGTCTCCAAGTATTTTTGTGGATTTATAAAATCTCTTTTCAGTTCTGACAGTAGTGTTTTGTGAATTTCAAAGCACTGTTATCGGTGCACACATATTTAATATTTTCATGTCTTATGGCAAATTGGTATTTTCATTATATAATGTCTCTCTACCACTAATAATTTTCTCTGCTTTTAAAGATGTTTCACATTCTTAAATCATTATTTCTAAATAAATTTTATTTTTACCATAACTTTAAAAATAAATTTTAGGTAAATTTCTTGTAGACATCACCCATTTCAGTCAATGTGTTTTCTGACTGATTTTCTAAAAAATGCATTCTGCCAGTCTTGGTCTTTTGCTTGGTATATTCTGACCATTTAATCTAATGTAATTATTGATATATTTGTACTGAAGCCTACCATTTTACTTGTTTTTTTGTTGGCACCTTTTCTTTCTATTTTCTTTCTGTCTTTTGGATAATTGGAGTGAATTTCCTCCCTCCCACTGCCTTCCCACACAAAAGTCTGTGTGTGTGTGTGTGTGTGTGTGTGTGTGTATCCATGGGATAGTGTCACATTTTTCCTTTTAGCCACTAGATATGTTTTAAACATTTCGAGAGCAGAACAATACTCTACTGTGTTTATACAGATGTTTATAATTTTTTTGGTTCTTCCTCATTGTCTCATGTTCCAGGTTGCCTTCCAGTATCATTTTCCTTCTGTCTGAAGAACTTCCTTTGGCACTTCTTTTAGAGCAGTCCTGGGGGCAACAAATTCTCTGTTTTCCCTCACCTGAACATGACTTCATTTCACTTTCATTCCTGAAGGATATTTTCATTGGCTAGAGAACTCGTGGTTGGCAGTTTACTTAACACTTAAAAATATTCTGCTTACTTTTGGCTTCCTGCTCCTTATGGGAAATTGGCAGTCACCCAAATCATTGTTCGTCTGTAAGTAATGCCTCAGCTTTCTCTGCCTTCTTCTGAGATCTTTTTCTTTGCCTTTAGTGCTAGCAGTGTGATTATGACATGCTTCGGCATGAATCTCTTTCAGTTCCTGTTGAAGGTTAACTGAGATTCCCGAATCTATACATCTAAGCATTTGTTTTACACCACACTGGCTTCTATATGATACCAACCTTAGATCTCTTGGTATTGCCCTACAACCTCAGGCCATCTTTCCCCTCAGTCATTTTTTCCTCTCTGTTATTTACAGGATTTCTATTCATCTGTCTTAAAGGTTGCTGACTCTTTTTTTTTGTTGTGTGCATATTTTGCAAAATTAAAATTTCCATTTGATTCTTCACTATATTTTGAATTTTTTGACAAGACTTTCTATCTTTTCATCTATTTCAAGAGTGTTCACTCTTTATTTTGGGGCATTTTAATAATGCCTGCCTGGAAGACATTGTTGGATAATTTCAATATCTGTATCATCTGATTGTCTTCTCCTTTAGAGATTGAGATTCTCCATGTTCTTCATAGGTAGACTAGTTTTGGGTTGAATTTTTATTATTTTATTATATTAGTGCGTGTCTGCAGTCTGTGAAGTTTACATTCATCTTGGGGCCTGGGTGCGTGCACACAACACAGCTTGTTTCTTCTTTTAATCCCCTCGCTCAGCCCCGAAATCCTCTCGCCCCATTTTCATTCTTATCGTTAGTGTGACTCTTAGCTCATGCTTATGACATACAGTGTTTACTTTCACTGAAGTCATGAATCCTTCTATCCATCCTTTATTACGCCTTTGTACTTTCTGCAGAACAGTGTTCAAGTCAAACATACAGCTTAGTGCATTTTCACAGGGTCCACGCAAACAGCACATAAACCAGACCTATAATGTTTCCCACTCCTGCAGAAGGTCCTTGCAAACAGCACATAAACCAGACCTATAATGTTTCCCACTCCTGCAGAAGCCTCCCAGCCTGCTTCCCAAAGGGAAGTACTGGCAGGAGTCCTAATATCACAGATGAATTTCACCTGGACTTGAATTTTATATAAATGTCGTCCTTCAGCATGGACTTTTTTGTATGCATTTGGCTTCCTTTATTCTTCACTGAGATGTGCATAAGCAAGCTTTTCATTTTCATGACTATATAGAATTCCGCCATTGAATATACCACACATTATTCATGCTAATATTCCTGGATTTGGGAATTATTTTCTAGTTTCTGTTAGGAAGTGCTTAATCTTTTCTACAAGAAATTAGAACTCCAATTAATTGCAATACATTCCTTCCATTTCACTGCTGTTTTGGTCAGTATATCCTGTCTTAAAAGGTACTTTAAGTGAAGAAGGGGAACATTTATTTTATGAAGTTGTAAATAATTTGTAACCAGTTTTCATTAACTTGGGAAAGTTTTCCCTGTTGACTTTCACTGACTTTTATCCGTGAGGTAGTATTTGATCTAAGGCAGTGCACACCCAAGACGCTCCCCACAACCATTTGTCTTATTAAAAATATGTGAGTAAAATTATTTAGAATTTCTAAAGAATTATTTTGCTGATCACTTGCCGTAACTGAAAGTATTTCTCCGCGTTCATTGTTCCAAATCGTTGGAAATCACTGCATCTAGCAATGTGCAATTTTAAGGATCACTCCTACTATGTTTGCTCAAAGAAAACAAAAAAGCTCATTTGTATAACAGTGCAATTGCTGAGTCAAAAGTTCTGGCCAAGTGCAAATGTGTGCTATCAATTTGTCTAGAAGTTAAAGTAGAGTAATACAGAGCTTCAGTGTGTGTGTGAGAAGATATCAACAACACTATGAACAATATACAAAAATAGTTCAGCAGGTAAACAAATGCGGTGCTAGCTGGAATGAATACAGAACTCCTGCGCTAAGGGTTTACTGTTTCTTTTTTTTTTTTTTTTTTTAATTGGTTTCCTGTTCCCTGGTGCAATTGGGTTGAGGAAAACAAACAAATAAACAGGTAAAACCAAAGCTCATTCTGTTTGTGACTAAGACACTAACATATGCACACGTTCCAAAAAAGAAAAAGTAATTTGTTCACACTCTGATTTGGAGAAATTGAACAGCTGAGATGGATCATAATAAAACAGGAAATGAAGAAGGCACAAAAACATTGTAACCCACATAATGACCTCTTTCCAAGTGTCAAGCTGTTTGTGTCTGGAATTTGGAGAAGAAATTCTTTCACTCCAGTTAATTTATTCTTTGCCTCAAAGCTTAACAATTTCCTTTTTCTTTTTCGGAGATAATGACTCCGGGCAGCTTCTGATTTATATGTGTGTTACTGTTGTAAATCCTATCGTAATAGAAGCTAGAT